CTACCAGCCTTTTCTCATCAGCTTCACACAGCAGTGGTTTCGTACCCGATGAGATGTAATATATGATTATTAGCAATAGAATGTTCTCTATTTTCTCACCCTCTTTTTTGTCATTTTCTCAATCAAAGTTTACTCCCCAGAATAGATGTAGAATCTAATTACTGGTCTACAATGAGTCCTCAACATCCCATCTTATTCTTTATCCTGATGGTTTATCCAATGCCATCACAGTTACTTTATCTTTCTTCTACAATTATCTCTTCCTGTCCACTTCAGCAACACCCTTATTTTTATAAATGTCCTGGACTTGGTCAGTACCTGGAAGAGTGTGCACTTTGAAGTCTTTAACTCTGAAATGTTTCTTTTGGCCATAACTTTTTATTCTTCTATATCTCTCTCTCCCTGACATGCATTAAACCCTGTGACTGAAATAATTTTGAATACTAGCTTCCTTAATCTAGTTTATTAGGTTTATTTGCCCAGGTCCATTACTGACTCCACTTGCCTTAACTTTCAAATACACTATCTCCATATCCTGCAATTTTTCTCATCTCCTTATTACTCTGCCAAATGAAAACATCCAGTTTATAACTTAATATTCTGATTATTCTACTTTTGATTTAGGTTTCCTATAACCTTCTGGAAAAAAGTTCATGATGCTGATGATAAATTTAATTACAAATGTATAACCTCTAATTTCAGTCAACCTTTCTCAACCATTCCTTTATACTTTCCATCAGTGTCTGTTTTTATTCCCCATCAAACTTTGGTTTTTGTTGTTGTTGTTTGTTTTTTGTCTTGTTTTGTTTTTGAGATGGAGTTTTGTTCTTGTTGCCCAGGCCAGAGTGCAATGAATGGCGCAATCTCAGCTTACCGCAACCTTCATCTCCTGGGTTCAAGCGATTCTCCTGCCTCAGCCTCCCAGGTAACTGGGATTATAGGCATGTGTCACCACATGGCTAATTTTGTATTTTTTTTCTTTTTTAATTATACTTTAAGTTCTCGGGTACATGTGCACAAAGTGCAGGTTTGTTACATATGTATACATGTGCCTTATTGGAGTGCTGCACCCATTAACTCGTCATTTACATTAGGTGTATCTCCTAATGCTATCCCTTCCCCCACTCACCACCCCACAACTGGCCCCGGTGTGTGATGTTCCCCTTTCTGTGTCCAAGTGTTCTCATTGTTCAGTTCCCACCTATGACTGAGAACATGTGGTGTTTGGTTTTCTGTTCTTGCGATAGTTTGCTGAGAATGATGGCTTCCAGCAGCATCTATGTCTCCACAAAGGACATGAACTCATCCTTTTTCATGGCTGCATAGTATTCCACGGTGTATATGTGCCACATTTTCTTAAACCAGTCTGTCATTGATGGACATTCGGGTTGGTTCCAAGTCTTTGCTATTGTGAATAGTGCCACAGTAAACATAGGTGTGCATGTGTCTTCATAGCAGTATGATTTATAATCCTTTGGGTGTATACCCAGTAATGAGATGGCTGGGCCAAATGGTATTTCTAGTTCTAGATCCTTGAGGAATCATCACACGTCTTCCACAATGGTTGAACTAGTTTACAGTCCCACCAACAGTGTAAAAGTGTTGTTATTTCTCCACATCCTCTCCAGCACCTGTTGTTTCCTGACTTTTTAATGATCGCCATTCTAACTGATGTGAGATGGTATCTCATTGTGGTTTTGATTTGCATTTCTCTGATGGCTAGTGATGATGAGCATTTTTTCATGTGTCCGTTGGCTGCATAAATGTCTTCTTTTGAGAAGGGTCTGTTCATATCCTTTGCCCACTTTTTGATGGGGTTGTTTTTTTTCTTGTAAATTTGTTTGAGTTCCTTATAGTTTCTGGATATTAGCCCTTTGTCAGATGAGTAGATTGCAAAAATTTTCTCCCATTCTGTAGGTTGCCTGTTCACTCTGATGGTAGTTTCTTTTGCTGTGCAGAAGCTCTTTAGTTTAAATAGATCCCATTTGTCAATTTTGGCTTTCGTTGCCGTTGCTTTTGGTGTTTTAGACATGAAGTCCTTGCCTATGCCTATGTCCTGAATGGTATTGCCTAGGTTTTCTTCTAGGGTTTTTATGGTTTTAGGTCTAACATTTAAGTCTCTAATCCATCTTGAATTAATTTTTGTAAGAGGTATAAGGAAGGGATCCAGTTTCAGCTTTCTACTTATGACTAGCCAGTTTTCCCAGCACCATTTATTAAATAGGGAATCCTTTCCCCATGTCTTGTTTTTGTCCGGTTTGTCAAAGATCAGATGGTTGTAGATGTGTGATACTATTTCTGAGGGCTCTGTTCTGTTCCACTGGTCTATATCTCTGTTTTGGTACCAGTACCATGCTGTTTTGGTTACTGTAGCCTTGTAGTATAGTTTGAAGTCAGGTAGCATGATGCCTCCAGCTTTGTTCTTTTGGCTTAGGATTGTCTTGGCAATGTTGGCTCTTTTTTGGTTCCATATGAACTTTAAAGCAGTTTTTTCCAATTCTGTGAAGAAAGTCATTGGTAGCTTGATGGGGATGGCATTGAATCTACAAATGACCTTGGGCAGTATGGCCATTTTCATGATACTGATTCTTCCTATCCATGAGCATGGAATGTTCTTCCATTTGTTTGTGTCCTCTTTTATTTCATTGAGCAGTGGTTTGTAGTTCTCTTTGAAGAGGTGCTTCACATCCCTTGTAAGTTGGATTCCTAGGTATTTTATTCTCTTTGAAGCAATTGTGAATGGGAGTTCATTCATGATTTGGCTCTCTGTTTGTCTGTTATTGGTGTATAAGAATTCTTGTGACTTTTGCACATTGATTTTGTATCCTGAGACTTTGCTGAAGTTGCTTATCAACTTGAGGAGATTTTGGGCTGAGATGATGGGGTTTTCCAAATATACAATCATGTCATCTGCAAACAGGGACAATTTGACTTCCTCTTTTCCTAATTGAATACCCTTTATTTCTTTCTCATGCCTGAATCCCCTGGCCAGAACTTTCAACATTATCTTGACTAGGAGTGGTGAGAGAAGGCATACCTATCTTGTTCCAGTTTTCAAGGGGAATGCTTCCAGTTTTTGCCCATTAAGTCTGATATTGGCTGTGGGTTTGTCATAAATAGCTCTTATTATTTTGAGATACGTTCCATCAATACCGAATTTACTGAGAGTTTTTAGCATGAAGGGCTGTTGAATTTTGTCAAAGGTCTTTTCTGCATCTATTGAGATAATCATGTGGTTTTGTCTTTGGTTCTGTTTATATGCTGGATTATGTTTATTGATTTGCATATGTTGAACCAGCCTTGTATCCCAGGGATGAAGCCCACTTGATCATGGTGGATAAGATTTTTGATGTGCTGCTGGATTCAGTTTGCCAGTATTTTATTATTTTTGTATTTTTATTTTTTATTTTTATTTTTCATTTTTTAATAGAGACGGGGTTTCCCCATGTTGGTCAGGCTGGTCTAGAACTCCTGACCTCAAGTGATCTACCCACCTCGACCTTCAGCAGATGACCCAGTTCTTATTTTATAGAGAAAAGAAATACTATCACGTAAAACTGCTCTCATATCATACCTATACTGTATCTTCACCCATTTTTTTTTCTCTTCCCAAAGTGAAAAAAATATTTTTTTCTTAATTGCTAGGTTAATGCTTCTGCTTATGTTTTTGGACTCATCTCCTCTTGAATCCTCAGGGACTGTGCCTTATTAATCAGTTTCATTCTTTGTTTCTCCATTTTTTTTTTCTTTTTTTGTCTTTTTCTGCCTGGGTTTCAAACACCCAGCCACAGGCATGTTTATTATTTCCCCTTTCTGAAAAACTCTGCACTGCCCAACTTCCTTCTCTTTACCACCCCATTTAATGAACTAATGTCTTACCACCTCCACTCCTCTACCTTTTACACATTATTGTCCACTAAATTTGACTTCTGCCTTTTGTGTTCTGGCCTCCACAAAGGTTAACAGTGAAAAAAATCCTATCTCCCAAATCTCATGACTTCTTTGCTGTTCTTATTTTTCTTATTATTTCTTTGAAACTTGCATGGTGTTTAACAATATTGACCGCTTCTTCTTTCTTGAAACTTGCTCCCCCTTCTACTTCAAGACAGAATCTGTTCTCTCTTCTTCTCTTCCTGTCTCCTTTACTCATTCTCTCAATTACTTCTACTTTTCTCTTAACTGTTATTTATCAACACTCCAACTTCTGTTCTCTTCTTGCTCCTCACTCTTTTACTGAGTGTTTGTGCCAATTATCTCTTCATTTCTCACCTCTATGCCCTAAAATCTGCCTTTTACCTTTATCCTAGAGTTCTAACCACTCCTAGACCTCTCTCCCTGTTGTCCTGCTCCTGCAGATATATATACCCCAGTTCTAATGTAGAACTTATTTATTCTTCTCTGCTTCTCCCTATAACTCAACTCCCCAGTGAAACCCAAACAGTCCTGGTCCTCTTATTGAATTCTCTTTCTCTATTACCATTCCCCCATTTCCTCCATCATCCAAGTTGGAAATTTTGGAATCACCTTGATGACTTCTCCTCCTTCAGTTGGGCAGGTCTGCTCAATTCTATCACCAAAACGTTTTTTCATTTGACATGGCTCTCTACTTCCCCTCTGATCCTCCTCATCAAGGCATCCCCCAGCTCTTTGACAGGCTTGTAGGTGGCATCTGTGAGTCCTGGCTGTCTTCACTCTAGATCTCCCTCACTCCTACCCTCAAGTTATACTTCTCCCCAGCATGACCCAAACAATGCTCAGTTACTGTGTGCTGGAGAAAAATTTTAACTGAATAGGAAGACTTATTTTCTTCCATTAATAAATAAGTTACTGATGTGCAGGTGGCACATGGTTTTATTGAAATTATTAACTTTTCAAATATTTTTAGACTTCTGGAATTAATGGAGCATTCATTACTTTGATGTCTACAAGTGTAAAATAAAGATACTTTAATATGAGTAAATTAAATTCTAATTTAAATTCTAAAATCATCTTCAATTCTGATTGATCATGATCATTTATCAGTCCTTTCTTCCATCAGAATTTTTCTAGCCACTTTTAAAAAAGGAAGGAAAAGCAAGAGAAACGTACCAACCACAAACTAGGTCAAGGATGAAGAGCTAACTCTTCTGAATTATCTGTCTTGAAAAGCTTTAAGATATCACAACATTCTTATTTGTTCTTCCCTTCTTGTTGTAGAGACTTGGAATTGTGTCCTTGGTTATAGAAACCTTAGGGAGTAAAGTGTAAATTAATTTAGAAATGAATTCTAGTCAATTTTGCTACCAATTAAATTCTAATTGAGACAAAGTATTGAGCAATTGGCTAAATAAGTAAGTCGAAGGACTTGGTGTTTTAAGTGGTTGCTAATTACATAAGAATCATTCACTATTAGTGTCAGTGATTAAGAGTTAACAGTGACGCTTCTAAGTTTTGACTTTGATAGGTAGTCTGAATAATAAATCAAAGCACTAGAGTTATTGTAGTGGTGGCAAATTTTTCTAAAAGCATATTTTAGATGTCAAAAAAACCCATGACTGTTTAACAATAAATTAATTAATTGTGGAATCAATAAAATTCAATGGTTTTGACTTTGAATTTTCTACAGAATCAGGTAACAGTCAGCATTCTATACTGTTGCATCACCTTAGATCACAATAAAATTGAGGCAAAGAACATAGTGAAAGGCGAGTTTTATTTTGAATGAGAATGAGGATATTTAACATCTAGGCTTGGAACTGACTATACCAACTTGATTATGTTCATTAATGCAGGTTTGTTGATGTACGGATGTATTATAAGATAAGTATATCTCAAATTAGTGAATGCGAAGGTGATATAAAATGATTTTTAAAATACAAATCAGTGTTTCCACAATGCTCTGAATTTTTGAAATGGTCCTGTAGGATTTTAACGTAGATGGTTAGCATCTTTACTAAATTATATGTTTGGTAGTCTTCAACTTAGAAGGAAAGTAATTGTGGACAGTTTACAAATTACTAGCAGTATGCTGAGCTCAAAAATTATGTTATTCAGTTTCTCTTCTATTAAAAGTAAATGTCATGATGCAGTATTGACCTTATAGAAGACTTGAAAATACTGTCTCTGTGGTAAACTTAAACAAACTTCTGTTGTTTCAGATAAGTTTCAGAATGTATGTTAGCTAGTTTTAAGGTCCCATGACTAACACTGTTATGAATACATGTCTACCAGTGACATTGTTAGTCATTGAGTCTTTGGATGTGTAATGAAGAAATACATACAGCAGCTGAAAAATTTTTATGAAACCAATTGTGGTAATACCAGTATGCTGCACAAAGCTTTTTCATGGTTTAACATTTTGTATGATTCTCCTAATTATTCATCAGACTTGGCTACTGCAAATACCAAGTCATTTTCTGACTGTGTAGCTTGGTTTTTGTTAGATAACAGAGCAGAATAACATAGATTATATTTCATTACAAGCAAGATGGCAGTCAGCCACTCTAGAAAATGACTACGTTATACAAGATTTTTTCATTGATTCATGCTAGACAAAACTGTCTGAAGATCCTTCCTACTTAAGTCTTCTGAGGTCATGTAACAATGTCTGAGCTTTGGAAGTTAACACAAGTTCACCGGCTCTCAACCTAAATAAATCCAACCCAGACTCAAAAATGTTGGTTGGTGGAGCAATATTTGAAATGGAATTGAAACTTGATTTGCAGTTTTGTAATATGTAATATGTTGTGCGAATATATGTAATACATATGTTTATAATATATCCTTCCTTAAGGGCCACTACGTTCTCGCCCAACTGTGACATTCAGCTGACACTAGTAAGTAGTTTCAGCAAGAGAATGTACTATAACTAATGTATGAAGAGAATGTACAAAAGTCTTAAAGACTAACTAGAATAATGATATCAGCCCATGAAAGTATTAGTATTTCTAATTAAACTTCTGAAGATCTCATCACACATTCCTAGGAAGTGAGAGTTAAGGGTAGGTCAAAGTATACAACCCCCTTATTAGAGAGGAATTCTTCTTCCCATAGCCATTGATAAACACATTGTTTCCCTACATGGAGTTCTTCAATGTCACTTTTGTTGTTTTCATACAAACCCTGGAGGATTATTATCTTTCTTTCCCAATCCTTTAAGTTTGAATACCTTAATCTTCAATCAGGGAAAATGTATTTATTAAAACTGAAATAGGGAGCAAGAAATCTAGTCACAACAAGTCTGTCTTTAGTAGAGAAAAAGCTGCAGGGAAATTCACCATTAATTTTAGGCTAGTCGAGTCATAACTCTAGTAACCCATGGGAATTCCATTACTGCTCTTTAGAAGTTTTTACCCAGCCTAAACACGTGTCTGCATTCAGAGATGGTAGTCTTGGTTTTCTTCTTCTTAAATGTCACTCCAATTTTTCTTTCTAAATGAGCCACTGGTTATATCCTTTGTGTTATCTTAAAGCATATTTATTCCTTTTCTTTCTGAAATGTTAGCCAGATGACAAGTGAGACAATGAAGTGTCATTCAAACTTCCTGACCTGGAGTAGGTTTCTCCTTTTTCAGATCCTCAATGTGACCCACATTAAAAGTGAAGTTTATCCTGTCCTTAGAGTTTCAGAGCTTAAAGGCCAGCCTACGAATTCAGGACAGTCCTGAGCCATTTTCCTCAAGAAAGCAAGTGCGGGTAGGGCAAATTTCTGTTCCCTCAAATGGAATTATTAATGGCAGTGTTTTTAGATGATGTAAAAATAGTTCAAGTTGAAATTAAATGATATGTGTGCACAGTTATTTATCTGAATGGCCAATCTGCATATGCCTAATACCTGAATTACCCAAGATGTAAAATGAATTATTTACTGTGTGTTTCAGTGAAGTTTTGAACCAAAGAATTTGAAATTCTTAAAGAGCGCCAAAATATATTCTTTTGGAGAGATTTTCCTGATGGTTGGAAAAAATTAGTTATATGTCTTAGAAAATGTTTTCTTCCTGCCTTGAGGGCCTTGTTTATGTTGTTCCCTTGTAAAATGCTATCTTTCACCTCCATTGCCCAGTTAACCCTTCTGACACTTTAGGTTCAGTTTATACCCTCCTTCCTCAGGGATATCAGCCAGTGATTCCTCAGCCTGCATCTGGTTTCTTGCTATATGCTGTTTTAGATCCTTGCAAACATATTCAAGGCACTTACCACAAACACTACTTGCCTATTTTTTTTTTTACATGCGATTCATTTTTAATGTGTCTCCTCCAATAAACTGTGATCTCTAATTTGTTAACTGCACACAGTTCCAAGTGCCTAGCAGAGAGCTTTGTGTATATAGCAGATATTCATTGCCTATTTATGATTAAAATAAATGAACAAGTGTAGGGATAGGATACATTCACCCAGAAAATAATCTACACTTTCCTAATTGTAACTATGATTTTCTAATAGCTACTTTTCTCCAGATCTCTCTATATTCCAATAAAGATTTGTTTTAATCTGTGAAAACCACATTTCAAGTGTTTCTGGTGACCTATTCACTGCCAGATTCAGGCTAGTTTGTACACCAGTTTATCCTTTTTAAATCCAGTATAGCTTTGCATCAGTGAACTACCATGATACTTTGTAGCACTGACCTCTGTTGCTTGACTGTCTGCACTTGACTCTCCATTGCTGGTGACCCCTACATTTACACATGCGAGAAGTTATCTTAGGTTGTATTTTTCAGATCTCAGTAAGGGATTAGGAAAAGTAGGATAGAGGAGGGGAGAGGGTCAAGCAAGGATATAATTTCAGGCAAAGCCCTCTAGAGAAGAGCTCCAATCTGATCCCAAAGACAACTGGGCTGTTTGTTATGTAAGGCAGCTGGATTTTCATACTTCTTCACTGGTTAGACATTGACTAATGGTGGGGGGATGTGGTATGGTAATTTTTCCAGTACTTTTATGGCTTTCTACTCTTGTAGGAAAAACAGCCCTACTAGTCAGAGGAGTATCTGAGGGGAGTGTCAGATGTTTGCAATAGAAGCAAAAGTACATAGAAGCTGAGGAAGATGAATTGAAACATGAGGAAAGACTGGAGATCTGGGGAGAGAATGCCAACGGTGTCTGCTAGAGGCTCCATGTGAAACAACATTTCTATCAAGGTTCAAGATAATTGATGTGCTTAATATGTATTCTTCTACTTTCTGGATCCAATTACCATCTCTTCACAAAAGAATACAAATCTACATGTCTACCCCTAAATATTACTGATTCCAAAACAGCTCTTCAAATATAAGCTGGAGATGTCTAGCACGTAATTACCCATAAAGATCCAGCATCAACAACAATGGACTAAATTAAATGGCTCAACTGTGTCAATGGACTTCTTGCCTCACCTAGTCCACCTCTTAAGACATCTATAGAACTGTCAATGATTTTCTGGCCTCTAAGGAAAGGCTGATTTTGAGTGTGTTTGACTGCATCTTGAAGGAAAGAGAGAAAGGCTAAGAAATTCAAGAGTAAATAAGGGGCATATGCCTGATTAAATGGATATACAGAAATAGGAAATAGAGAACTTAGGAGAATCTTGCAAGAAAGCATCAAATGTTAGGGTGCAGGTTGGCTGAAGCTTTCTGGAAAGGTAACTAACTAGAAAAAGTGTTGATAATGGATGAGGCAGATGTAAAAAGAAGAATCTAAAATCTTGGTAATATTTATCTTGGCTCAGGTATCTTAATTACTATTGAATAAAATTGCATTATATAAATCTACATCAATTATGACACCTTAATCAGAAGTAAAGGAAATTTTAAAACCATGTAGAGAATTCTATTTCTATGAAATTTTTACAAGAGATTGTATTTTATAAATGTCAAAACAGGTAGGGAACTATAAATAGGCAGATAATGATGGAAGGTGCAAATTTAGCAGTGACTAAACCATCAGGACATTCTATGGGATAGCATCTCCATTTACATGAGCTAAATACCATGGCAGTAGAAAATCATTTACACATTCACTCTTGGAGCCTCAATGCTCTGATGAACAGGCTAGCTTCTCTCCAGTAGCCATGAGACTCAAATGAGATATTTGAACACTATGCTCTTTAAATGTGCTGAATTCCTTCTGCCTTAGCTCTTAAGCCACTGCTGATCTTCTTAGAACCACACACCGCAGGTGCCTCCCTGTGGAAACTGCAAACGTTGACTCTGTCTTCCACCTTTGGATGACTTAGAACATGTTGAGGCTAAGGTTCATTTGTTATCAACATTCAGAAACTGCCATTTCCTTTTCTACCTGCAAAGCCTAATAATAACTTTTTAAACTATTGCTTCATTTGCATATTCACCACACATCCTGCTCTCAGATGTGGAATCTAAAAGCTTGCTGAGAAACTGCCTCCAATGTTGCTCCCTTAACTTTCACTGTGGAAAACTCTGAAGGAAGTTGACTGCACCCTTTAATGGAAGCATGAGGAACCAGGTAAATTGCTTGCCCTTAATAGGCCTTTAGATTTTGAACTGTTCTTTCATCCTTGAGAGACAAAAATGCTATCATTAATTTAACAAAGCTCCTTACCATCACTGAAGTTTTTTTTTATATTTCCTGTAGTCTCTTTCCTTTAGATATGAATGAAAATGTCTCCATTGTGACTCAGCAGATCTCCAGGATTTTCCTGTGTAGTTTCTGTTTTGGCTCTCAACTGGTGGAAACTGACTGCTACAAGACCGAGGTTTTTAAATCAAACCCAAATAACAAAACATATTTCGAGCTGAAAAAGGTGGTGGCATCAGGCTGGGGTAGGTATGAGGAATTGATTCATTACCCCAATTGGAATATAAATTCAATGAGTTTAATTACTAGTGGTGTCAAAAAAGGATTTTCACTGATAGCAAAATTCTGGGTTTTTTTCTTAACTTTTATTTTCAGTTCAGGGGTACATGTGCAGGTTTGTTATATAGGTAAACTCGTGTGATAGGGGGTCTGTTGTACAGATTATTTCATCACCTAGGTATTCAACCCAGTATCTATTAGTTATTTTTCCTAATCCTGTCCCTCCTCCCACCTTCCATCATCTGGTAGGCCCCAGTGTCTGGTGTTGCCCCCGGTGTGTTCTCATTATTTAGCCTCCACTTATAATTGAGAACATGTGGTATTTGGCTTTCTGTTCCTGCATGAGTTTGCTGAGGATAATGGCTTCCAGTTCCATCCATGTTCCTGCAAAGAACATGATACCATTATTTTTTATAGCTGTATAGTATTCCATGGTGTATATGTACCACATTTTCTTTATCTAGTCTACCTTTGATGGGCATTTAGGTTGATTCCATGTCTTTGCTATTGTGAACAATGCTGCAATGGACATACTCATACATGCATGTGTTTTTATAATAGAATGATTTCTATTTATTTAGGTGTATACCCTAGTCAAGGCAATCCTAAGCAAAAAGAACAAAGCTGGAGGCATCATGCTGCCTAACTTCAAACTATACTACAGGGCTACAGTAAACAAAACAACATGGTACTAGTACAAAAACAGACACATAGACAAATGGAACAGAATAGAGAGCCCCCAGATAAGCCTACACACTCGCAACCATCTGATCTTCAACAAAGTGACAAAAAACAAGCAATGGAGAAAAGACTCCCTATTCAATAAATGGTGCTGGGATACTGAGTAGCCATATGCAGAAGATTGAAACCGAACGCCTTCCTTATACCATATACAAAAATCAACTCAAGATGAATTAAATACTTAAATAGAAAACCCAGAACTATAAAAACTCTGAACAATAACATTCTGAACATAGTAATGGGCAAAGATTTCATGACGAAGATGCCAAAAGCAATTGTAACAAATGCAAAAATTGACAAATGGGATCTAATTAAACTAAAGGGCTTCTGCACAGCAAAAGAAACTGTTGAGTCAACAGACAACCTACAGAATGGGAGAAAATTTTAGCAAACTATGCATCAGACAAAGGCCTAATAACCAACATCTATAAGGAACTTAAATTTACAAGAACAAACAACTCCATAAAAAAGTGGGCAAAGAACATGAACAAACACATTTCAAAAGAAGACATACACACAGCTAGAATGCCTACAAAAAAGGGCCTGCCATGGGGTGGGGGGAGGGGGGAGAAATAGCATTAGGAGGTATAACTAATGTAAATGACGAGTTAATGGGTGCAGCACAGCAACATGGCACGTGTATACATATGTAACAAACCTGCACATTGTGCACATGTACCCGAGAACTTAAAGTATAATAATAAAAAAGAAAAAAAGAAAACTCATGTTCAAATAAAAATCTGCAAACAAAAAAGAAAGCCTATGAAAAAAGCTCAATATCACCGATCATTAGATAAATGCAAATCAAAACCACAATGAGATACCATCTTACATCAGTCAAAATGACTACTATTAAAAAGTCAAAAAATTACAGGTGCTGGTGAGGTTGTGGGAAAAAGGAATATGTATACACTGTTGGTGATGTTCGTGGGAGTGTAAATTAGTTCAACCATCGTGGAAAGTAGTGTGGCAATTCCTCAGAGAGCTAAAAACAGAACTACAGTTTGACCCAGCAATCCCATTACTGGGTATATACCCAAAGGAATAGAAATTGTTCTCTCATAAAGATAGCAAAATTCTTAAAGCTACTCATTGAAGATTAGCAAAACTGTTAATTCAAGCCAGGAGTCGTTCCTCATAAAAATTTAAGTAGCTTTGACCTGCTGTATGTTGGAAAGGCCAAGACTCAAGAATCCAGACTTTTTGGACAGAATAGGTCCACACCCCACATATTAAAAGAAAGAGTTGGTGGGGAGGGGACAAGTGTGAGGTAAAAATGCATGTGGCACTCTGTACCTTTGGGATTAAAGAAAATAACCAACCCAGGGTCTAGTGAGGAATGCATTTGCCAGAGCTGCAAGCAGGATTACTATGGTTTATACCAGAACCTCAAATACAGCATCTCCCTTCCTGGACTTTCACGGAAACTCCCTCTCATCATTCTTTGTCCTTGTTTTACTTATATACTTATGTTCAAAAAGACTTTAAGAAGCAGAGGTAATCATTCCTCCCTCTTTTCACATTTTCCTTGGATGACTAAAGTCTCATTCCACACCAAAGAGGATGTTTATTCCAAAGCTGCCTGTGGTATGGAATAGGCTCCAAGACTATCCCACGTACACAGGATAGGCTCCAAGACTATCCCACGTACATCTGTGCAAAGGGTAGCTCAGCTGACCAGTTGGCCAGGACATGGCAACAGCTTTCACTGGAAAACACTGAGAGGCATGCCTATTCCATACAGCACTGAGAGGGGCTATGGACAGCTAGAGACTGAGTCTTTCTACTTCTCGTTCCAGATTATCATCAGCCTGGACTCTGAGCAATGCTGCAAGAGTGACAATGTTAAAAACACCCAACACCTCTGCTGCTTTTATTCCTTTAGTATAAAGTCTAATCATCAACTGAGCAGAGGCTACATGTTGTGAATTTGTATCTAGGCACATATCTCTTCTGTGGGATCATAGTTAACTGCATCCAAAGAAGGGGCCGTTATCTGTTATGCTCTGGAGGAGCAGATGTAGTTCTAGACTCTCAGCTGAAACATAAGTAAACCAACTAATGATTAATACTGTCCACTTGCTTCCTGAGGCATGTCCTTTGTTTCTCCCCATTCGGACCCTCGTATCGGATACGCACTCGTTTTATTCATCGTCTTGGCACTGTTTATGCTGGTTTTGCTTACTTCCCAGACTACCAATTTCCTTCAGTGTCTGTTACAAATTAATCTAAATCCCATTTATCTTCCAAACTTATATGACTCCTAGTTTATGATGGGTTTTTTTAATTTATTTGCCGGTTTCTGCTGAATTTTTTAAATATGTATTAATTTTTAAGGTAGTCAAACATTTTAATCTTTTTCTTTAGGTTTCTGGACTTTTAATTTTGTTTAGAAAAGTCATCTGTAAAATAAAATTAACCTTTATTTCCTTCTGCACCAGGAATTTATTTGTATATAAGGGGTGAGGTAGCCATCTAGCTTTTTTGTTTTTTATTTCTACAAATGGCTGCCTAATTATCCTAACATCATTTTTACTTATTCTAATACCACTTTTTGTTTTATGCTAATTTCCCATGTATATTTGGATATGTCTCCAAATCCTCAAGGCTATTTAGTAGATCTGTCTGTCTCCACCAACACCAAATAGTTTTCATTATTCTGGCTAAATTCATTCTTTTATGTCCTTGTTCAATGTATTTATTGAGTGCTTACTGTATAACTGGCATTCCTCTGTGTGTTGGTAATACAAGAGACACATGGTATATTGTAGTAGCTAGCAGTACTGCTCATCCATCCCTCATTGTGTGGATTCTTTCTGTTGATCACTTTTTTGTGTGTATTTTATATAATTATTATTTTTATCAGTTGGTCATATTATAGAAAATCTTCCTGGTATGTTTATCAGGATTGCTTTAACATTCTGCCTTAATATAGAGAGAATTGATATCATTTAAATATTGCATATTCCTATCCAAAAAGAAAACAGTTATTTTCCATTGTTTCCAGATTTCTTGTATCTTCCTGGGTAGAATTTAAAGCTTTCTTTAGATAGGTACTGCATATTTTTTTGCTAAGTCTCTTTCTACGTATTTACCTGTTTTATTTTTTCATAAATGGTATCTTTTCCTCATTATAATTGTCATTTATTTTTGTATTTAAAACTACTGATCTGTATGAATTAGTTATTTAATCAGTAACTATGCTATTTTTTCTTGTCATTAGTAGTAATTTTTAAATCAATTGTAAGTTTTATCAGATATACATATATCTACCTATTATCTGCAGATAATTATAATTTTACTTCTTCATTTATGATTTTTATATCTTTTATTTCTTCCTTTAAATGTAAAGGAATTTAAACATTATCTTCTGTGGGGTAATGAGACAGAAACATAGACAAGTCTTATATTCTTATATCAACTATCCTGTTCTGCGACTTGAGCAAGTCACTCAAACTCTCTGGGCCTCCATATTTTCAGAGGCAGCACAAATATTAGATGATCTCTGCGTTCTTACACAACTGCAATATGTCTAATTTAAAAAATCATATTTGCCACCTTTCAATCACAATGATTTTTAGGTTAAATCATTGTGGGTGAATTAGACAGGTAGTTGCTACTAATCTTATTTCTAGTTTTTCAAAAAACTCAGTCTGGGGCCAAGCGCAGTGGCCCATACCTGTAATCTCAACACTTTGGGAGGCTGAGGCAGGAGGATTGCTTGAGCCCAGGAGTTTGAGACCAGCCTGGGCAACATGACAAAACACTGTCTCTACCAAAAATACAAAAATTAGCCAGGCATGACAGTGTGCATTTGTTGTCTCATCTACTCAGGAGGCTGAGGTGGGAGGATTGCTTGAGCCCATGAGGTCAAGGCTGTTGTGAGCCAAGATCATGCCACTGCACTCCAGCCTGAGTGACAGAGTGATACTCTATCTCAAAAACTTATTAATAAAAAAACCTGAGTCTAGGATATTGGCCAGAGAGTGTAATATATTGTCACTTCCCTCAGCTTTCTCAGTGCCCAGGGTTGAGGAAAGAGAAGGATGACAGAATAATAAGAGCAGTTTTAACAGAGGGAAAAAAACTGTATCTATCTATCTCTCTAAGTTGTAATAAAATAAAAATTAAAAATCAAAGCAAAAGATGTGCCTTTTGATGAGCTGGCCAGTTTAAAATATCCCATTAGACAGAATTCCACAGGCTCTCTGACTCAGATTTTACT